TTGTTTAAAAGCACGAACTGAAACTTTGAAACGTTTATTTATTTCATTCTAAATATAATATTCTATATATCATCTATTGAGTTAATGATTGCCATTTTTTTTAATTTGCAGAGTAATTTTAAAACATTACATAATAATTATGTTTTGAAAATTATGTCATAGAGTAAGAATATTTAAAAATAAATCGAGATATAAGGAAAAGGAAGTCCGGAAAATAAAATATTATAAAAATCTTTTTAATGGTTTTTGATTTATTTATTTAAACACATAAATATTGGAAAAAAAAGGCATTGAATAGATATGCCCCACATAAATCATTCGATTTATGTGAGGGGCTGGGATACTGCTAGAGTGCACAGACTGAAGAAGGTGGGGTTTTTTTGGGGGGAGCTACACCCGGAGATTTAACCTTAATGTCTGATTCACAAGGTAGTGCATACATTTTCATGGTAGCCGATGACCAACGATTGGTTCATACGCCATTCTTTCTTTCAGGATACTGGAACTTATGTGAACCATTTGTTTGAAATTAGGGTTTTTCAACTGACCTAGGTAGAATCTCCGTATCTACCGACCCGGTTAAAGCACTGGACGTTTGCTTTTCGTCCTCTCAATTTCGTGAACAACACTCCCACCGCTTAAAAGCAGTGAGCGGTTGTATACACGCGACCATGTGAGAGCATTTCGAAAGGTTGAGTTGCCTATCCCCACACTCTTTGCCGTACCAGGACATTTGGAGGCAATGAATCGATAGATAACTTGAAATATATAAGATTCTCATCGAATAGACTGAATGACTGCATAAGTTATTGCATATGAAACAGAGAGAAGAAACATAAGTGAAATGTACGCTTAACGACAAAGAATAATACTCATCCATTGAGACATATTTCATGAAGTAACTAGGATCCATTTTTCAAAGTGCACAGTGTTTATGTCATCGGAAAAGCTAGTTAAAAATTTTATTTGCGAAATACAACACTTTAAAACCCGTATTCTCTGATAACTACATTTTCGTTGTCTCAAAATATTTCAAAAAGTGAATATTTCAGTAATGTAAACTAAGTGATCATATAAATAAAAAGCTGATATTTTAGTTACACTTTGCGTGTATTTTTGTTATAGATAAGCGCATAAGTTCTATGAGGCAAACAGAAAAATTCGATATACATTGTGAATTACTGGATCAAGAACCAATCACCGAGTTGTAGAGGATCTCTATGGAATCAAATTACGCTTATTCTTATGCTAAATACATGGTTTTATCCACTGAATATTGTTTCCTAATAGCATATATTCTGATATAATATTGTAACTTACCGATAGAATCAAGTGATTATGGATGATAAAACATCTTACAGTTAAACCGAATGTATATTGTTGTATATACAGTGGAATGGAAATACACTATATACATACGCTATGTTGTTTTACAGAAATTAAATGTATCTGAAACTTTATATGGATTTAATTTCAAATCTAAACGATTGGCTAGTAAGATCAGAACATGTCCATGACACTTTTTGAAAAAAATGTAAATCATGAGAGAAAAAATAATCAATACATGGAGAAAGCCTAACACATACAGATGAGGAAATTCAAATTTGGTTATATTCATTCGAATTACGTTAATTTATAATATAAAAAATAATCTTTAAAGTAGAATAAAAAAGGGTTTTCTACAGTTCGATTTCAACTACTCAGTACTACAATGTGTTATATACATTTATAAAGCAAGTATTTCATACAATCGATCATTTTGAGATCATTGTGTTTGATATTACAAATAACAGGAGGAAATACATTTTTAATTCTTAAACTTCAATAAACTCAATCGTGTTGTATTGTCTCCCCACCTTTAAAGCCATCACTAAACACCTACAAAATCTCAGGTTTCCTTATGTTGCCATACATCTGAAGAAAACCGCTCATGAATTCAACTAATATTAAGGATGCAGTTCGACAAATGGTAGAAAATGTGCAAGCCTTATTTTGGCTACTCATAAGTAGCCAAAAATAAAAAGACAAAAAGTATATTGGAATCAAAAATTAAACACTACGTAGAATATTAAATACATCAAATAATACGCAGAAAACATTTAGAATACTGGACTTCCGCAAAATATAACAAAACTTATTATAAGACAATGAGTCAAGTAAATGTACGTAAAAAATAACTACATTCTTATATGTGAACGAAATGACAAAAATGGTTTTAGAAAATAATATAAAAATAAAAGGCTCTGAATGAATTGTAATATATAATGTAAAACATTTTTTGAATAATCTTAAAAAAGTCATAAACCTTTGTGTAATATGACTGAAAACTTTTGTAAAAAAAACAAATTATGTATCAACGGTTACAAATTAATAATATGTATTTAGCCCCGTTGAATGCTAGCTCAGTGGTCTAAAAGTCCTGGATTCGAATCCCAACCACGGTATTGTTGATGTGTTCTGCTCAGGACACTCATACTACGACGAAATAGATGTCCAAAGCTTCCAGGTTTTCACTGGTAGTCTAGCTTAAGTAAACTTATGAATTCAACTATTAAGATGGTCCAGTAGGTTAAACGTTCACGCGTGAAACTGAGGGCTCTGGGTTCGAATTCCGCTGGCGGGATCGTGGATGCACACTACTAATTAGTCCCACAATAGGAAGAAACGACCGTCCAGTGCTTCCAGGTTTGCAATGGTGGTCTAACATCAATCAGTTCATGATCTCAATCAAAAACTTATCAATCTCCACAACCCCTAAATAGATATTTATTAGTTAGAATTCCTATACCACTCAAAATAATGTTATAAATATTTAATTCATAATCGTGTCAATCAAATCACTACCAATGTGATTTGTTTATTCTAATTAAATATCTATAGTTTATATATTGAAACAAATTAAAACGTAATAACTATTTTAAAGTTAAAAATTCATTAAAATTGAATTTCGACTTATAAAATTGTATATCGTTTGTTTTTAGTTTGAATAAAATATGGTTATTTATTACATATAGTATAAAAGATGAGATTTCTTTATATTTGGTAAAGAATAACATTTATAGTGTGAATAAAATTAATAAAGAAGTATGTAGAATTGTACTAATTATAGTCTAAACAACAATTTAAATTAACCAGATTTAGTAAATTTATTGACGTCATCTTTTGATTTTTCACTTTAGATTATGTCATATATAGGTGTTGCCACACACATAACATCCTTAAATTAAAAAATAATGGATCATGCATTAAAAGGATAGTAATAATAGAAAGAATGTAAATAGATCTTAATTAAACTTTGAAAAATGAATTTAACACAAAGGATGGAAAAGTATAAGGCACCGTCGAACAAAATTAACCAAAACTTTATGTTGATCGTTTATGGAGACTGCCGAATTTGATACTTTTAATATCGGTTAAACAACTTTTAAAAACTAAAAAGCAGTTTTAAGCTCTTCAACAAGGAATACTTATGTCCATACTACGGATTGAACTCAAAACTCTTAAGGCTTGCAGAATTCACTTAGTATCGAAACCACCAAGTCAGCATTACATAGTTTATATGTATAACATTAATAGACTTACTATTCTGCTCAACCGAATTCCAGTGAGTTTAGTAACTGTCCCATACGCAACGTGATTGAATATTTGTCATTAAGAACCTCTATAATTAGTATGCTATAACTATTAGTACAAGGGGTTTGTAAAGGCTGTCACATTTAAAGTCTAATAATATCGAGTATGGAGCCGTTAACCAGTAATTATATTAAACGTCGGTTTAATAGATTCGTAAATTTATAGAAGTTAAACATATATACCATTTTACTTGGCAATACATACATCAAGTGCATTCTGCTAGACCCAAGGGTTCAGAGCTTATTCTGTGGTGTGGTCGTATATGTGAACTACTGAGGGGTCTCATACTAGTATTAAACAACGTCACATTACTTTTTAGCTTTCTGAATATAACTTACTCAAGTCAGATCATAATGTGAAATAAATATCACCATTTTATTAAAACAGGAGATTTATAATAATTGTTCAATATGAAGTACATGAGTTGAATTCTTGGTAGAAACGAATACATCCATTACTGAGCTACTTTATCATTAAAATCTAACTATCCAAAGTTAAATAATTTACAATAACTGTTTATTTAAATTCAAGTCATGATCGTAACATTAAATAAATATATATTATTGAGAAAAGCTAATTTTATTTTATTTCTTGTAACGCATATTTAAAATTACGCTATAGTTAATCGCGAAAAAAATTTGATTGAAAACCTGTAAGATTTTTCGATGAAATATGAAAAACCATTAGGCTCAGAGAATACAGCACTTCCAACTAAATATCAATCAATCAATCAGTAACAACGTAGAACTTCATATGTATGTACATCAGTTCGAGTTGCTATACCACATTAGCACACAGATACGATTGTCGATTCAAATTCCGTACTGGTAGAGGTAGTAAGAGTATAAGCAGTAATCGGCAGGATTACGGTTTGAAAACGCTATTCAATGAGTATAATCTAGTGAAACAAATTTGGAAAGAGAAAAAAAGAGACAAGGAGAATTCAGGAGATTAGAATTTGGTAGAAAACAAAGAGTAGATAAACCTGCACCATTGCAAACGATTTTGAGACATGTCATTCAACGTCTCTAACCATCTGTTGCTATCGTTTCGGGGATACCAACCAGGTACTCTACACCTACCAACATGACTCAGTCCTCTTGTCAGTGACTTCATGAATTTGTGCCATGTTTTGGTCTGGCCGCCCCTAGTGTTCTTCCAACTTACTCCTACACCATAAAACATCGCACGTCGAGGCAGTCGGTGGTGGGGCATACGTAACATGTATCCAAGCCAACTTAAATGATGAAGTTTTACTAATTCGTAATTTATTTGAAATAATATTTTTTTCAAAAATTCTATAAGCATATAAATAAAGTTTATTCAAAAAACTTGGTAAAAACAAATATATAAAAAGAATTACATACTTTGTTTCCCAATTAGCATCTGTATACAGAATATTCCATTTATTTAATGTTTTGTTATATAATTCAACAGTAAGATATGTTCCATTTGAAAGTACATTATTACGTGGTGAAGCAGTAACAAAATATACTTCGACAATATCATTTTTCTAATTTTTAAAAAATAAAATAAACAGCAAAAATTAAATCATAATTCAATAAGAACTTTCGTTTAAATTTGAACGAATAGTTTCACAAAATTTGAGCACCGAGTTAGTGTAAGATATTAAAGAGGAAAAATGTATTTGTAAGATCTCAGCGGATGAATTTGAACTATATCCAACGTTTCGCCTGGCAATCGATCCAAGCTTTTTCAAGGAAATATAATCAAACATCAAAATTATCGATTATAAATAGATACATGGTTCTCCGGCCCACTGTATACTGAATAAGTCATCCAATCAATGTGAACAATGTTTAAAGTAGGTATTTACATAAGTGTGTGAAAGACTTGTGTTGTGAAAACGAAAAGTGTTAAGATAACAGATTGTGTGCATACGTAAGTGGTGTGAGAAGAAATTTCATTCGCTATATATTATCTTCGGTTGGTGAATATTAAGAAAACATGTAATTTTTATGTATGATATGAACCAAAAATGTCACAGCATGCATAAAATGAAGATGAATAAACAAGGTAAATGAATGAATTCAAGGAATAAGAATGTATTTGTGTTATTTTAATGTTCCAGTCAATTGTTTAACATATTCAACTAATCCACGAAATCTCTCCACCGTCCACCATTGTCTTCAGTGAGCTGATATCTCACAACAGACCTGGCTGAACTCCAGTGGTCACTACTTCTCACTAGAACTCCAGGAAATGCCTCTTGAAGTCAATCACTAGTGAGCAGATGATTATTACAGAAGAGGTTTTGTGGAGATGAATATAACATCTTTTATTTAGTTAATACGATATAGACAGAATGAAATAAGGGTTTCAGGTTTACTTATTAATTATTACTTGCCATGGGACAGCTGGTTGTATTCCATCTCTCCTATTAATACTGTTTGGATAAGCCCCCATATGTAGGGTCTCGGCTTTTAGTCTTCTTTGTAAGAATTAAAGCCTTTTTGAAGGATTCTTGTATGACCCGATTCTATCGAGTGTAATTCTATCGCTGATTTGTTCTCGAGTTTTTTTTTCAGACCTTAACTGAAGATTTAGGAATGTGTTTTAAGCATAGTTTGTGTTCCTTCATCCCCACATTCATTTGTCTTAATGTTTCACCTACATACGTTACATTACGACCACTACATTTGATTTCATAAACACAACTCTGTTGTTCTTCCTTGTGTATTGGATCTTTGATTCTTACTAGTTTTGATCATAGAGTACTGTTTGTTCGAAAGAATACTCATATATATAATTTTGATGTTTGATTATATTTCCTTGAAAAAGCTTGAACCAGATTGCCACGCGAAACGTTGGATTTACTTCAAATTATTTCACTGATATTTTACAAATACATTCTTTCTCTTTAGTAAATGAAAAATCGTTAGAATAATGATACTTTTTAAATTGAATTTAATAAATAATTAAAATATTTATTAATGGATAATTCAAAAATAATTTATATAATTAAATAATTTAAACGAAATCCAATAAATATCATTGTAGCGACCAAGAACACATAGTGAAGACAATCGAATGTATTTGAACACTAGATTACAGAATATCTCATTAAAATCTGAGAACCAAACAGTCAATACTTAATTTGCAAAATATCAATCTGTTATCTCAAACTTGACTGTTTCTTTTGTAAATATCAATCCATTGCCTCAGATTTCATTGTTTCTGCATTTTCATTGCAATTGCTTTCTGTTCTCTTTCTTTCCTTTTCGACTTTCTACTGAAATATATTCTATTCCTGATTATTGTTATATACTACTTATGTGTATATAAGTAGCGCACACCACATTATTTATATATACCATGATGAAACTATAATTTATGAACGAACCAATCAGATTTAAGATAATGAATCATGGACTTGAGCGAGAAAATGATTCACTCACTAGGCTAAACAACATTTTGGCATTATAGTTGATATCAGTTCATGATAGAAACTCTAAATCAAACTTTGATCATTAATTGGAAATTATAATTCTAATTTCCTATACTGATTTATAACCGTCATCTAATCCTAGTTATTGATTGGACGCTCTCAAACATCATCTCATCGAATCTAATTTTAAATTTAAATACTATGGAATTATCAATTCTATGAGATTAGAATATTACATATTAGATTTCATTAGTAGGTTCTTATTCACAATAATTTGTGTAATTATTACTTTCAATTGATTCATAACTCAATATGTATATATACATCTTTCTGTATACAACGCTAATCTTTTAATAAAGACTTGAACATTTTGTAGTTTGTACTTAAAGTAAGATAATTTATAAGAACATTTGTAACTTTTTAAAGAATTTAATGCTTGAGTAAACACTTAAGATATATTGTTTTATTTTCTAAAAATCTGTTTATGTTAAACATACTTTTTTTCGCATTGAAGATTTACTGGTTTAATAGAAAACATATCAGAGTTTAGATCTTCATGTGATTTAATAGTCTCACTATATGAAATCAACGCTAATACAAAAGTATTTTTAACCGACAAGTCTGGAATAAGATAAAATGTCATTTAACGCGAAAACATTTTTGACCGCGCAACAATGTACTCAACTTAAGATAACTATTCACCAGCATATAAAAACATTTAAAAGTGTGAAGTACTCACTAAACTTTACCCAATCATGAACGTAAATCAATAATGTTGAGTAGGCAGGATGTAAACATAGAGCATGTACAACACAACCATCACAGTCTCAGAGTTGTAAAATAAGTAATTGAATAACAAATTCTATTATAACTCAGTAAATGTTTTTTAAATTTGCCTATTACTTAGGTGATGTATTAAATTCAGATAATACTAGCAAGGTGAAAGAATAACTTTGTTTTATATAATTTCAGTTTATAATTGCATAAAACTGTTATATCCTAGTGAAGATTAAATCACGAGTAACTTCTGAGACCTAATAATACACTAATATTATCTATATTTTCTTATGATATAACCATATAGTGTTTAGATTATCGATATCTATATTCCCCTTATTATAAGCTTCATTTTGGCTTATAAATTATTATTATACGGTTTACTGTTCTTAAGTTATGTTCAGTTTATTAGTTAATGTCTCCCAAGTTCACAGCCACTTTTGGCTATATTGTGTATGAATGTTATTTCCTATTTTATAGTGCGATGCGATCTATTTAGTTGGTAAATAAACCAAGTATGTCTGAAGTAAATAGCTGTTATTGATATTCTGGACTCAACTGGATAAGCGATGCGAGCAAAGCACCAATAAGGACGCTAGGCTGATCATACCGATCAAACGTCATTAGTTCATGACAGTACAAGAGTGAATAAGTCGTAGTTCGATTTGCGAATGAATTACATGATAACTAGCCGAACTTAGAGCCACAACAAAAACTTAAAGACATCATAAATAAAATAATGATTGTAATATCCCAATAATTAGAAAAATTAGGTTTTCTGACGTTTCGTGACTCAGTGTAAGCCACTTTTTCAAAAAATAAATAACCAAATTAAATTAACCCATATTTAAATAATGGTACTATTTAAACTTATATTAATTTGATTTTGGTTATTTGTTCACTCTGAAGAAGTGGCTTACGTGAAGTCACGAAACGTCAGAAAAACAATTTTTATATTCTGTAGGATTTTACAAATATATAATTTATTTATAACAATTTATCCAATGCTCAATTTATTTGAAATTGTCATTCATAATGATATAAGTTATTGGTTTAATCAACTATTTAGTTAGTGAAAAGAGAGTATGAAGTTGAAACTGAAATTTTGATTCGTAATAATCAAACAAAATTTTGTATAAATCGAATTAATAACGTGTAGTATTTCAGTTTAATTAAATCACTATCGAAATATGTTTGTTTGTTTTTTAAATTTACAATTACAATAAATCTAATTGTTTATTTAATGTGCCTTAAAAATAGGAAAAAAGTTTTTTTATTTCTTATGTTTACTCACAGCTAAAATCACAAGTATTGATGGTAATAGCAACAATGATTTTACAAGTATTCTTAATTTAATGGAAAAAAACCTACTTCATAGTAAGTTGAATTTGGTTGTTTAATTACAGTACCAAATGGTTTTCCCAATGGTGCTGTGTCAAATAAAATTTTCGGCACAAAACTAAGTTGTTCATTGAAAAAATATGGAGCAACTGTTCCGGGAGAAACTTTTTGTCGCTAGAAAAAAAAGAAAATATGATTTTTTTTTAAAAACCATAAGAATTAGGAACAAATACATAAAACTGGTGAAATATCACAAGAACAGTAACGTAAATAAGGATAATTTGTGCAGTTTGTTAACATTTTATGGTTTATTTCACCAACGAATCTTAATTAAACAACTGTTGAAGATTAGGAAGTACTTAACAAACTATTTTACCAGAGTATGAGACACATATACGAAGATGAAACCAGTTTCCAGGGATTGTTGATTTATTAACAGTTGTCCGGGGTTTACAACTATTATGCAGTTCTATAAATCGAAAGAAATTAGAAGTGAATGGAATTCAATTCGTTGGATCAGCTTATGAAAACAGTTAGTTAGATGTATTTATTTATTGTCGTTTTAATAACTTTGTATTTTTATGCTTAATTATTCTTGCTAATTTATTGTTACTGGAGATTTTATTCTCACTGTATGTGAGCAACAACTTTGATTTTATAGACAAAAGCAAGATGCTTTCTTCTTGCCAGTGATTCCATCAATTTAATATCAATTAAGATTGAATTTTAAAATTCCATCCTTTGATTTAGATTATCTATTCATCTACCCCAAATTATCAATTATCAGTCACTTTAATACATTTTAATAAGTAACAATTTCTAATGAATAATTGACAGAACAGAGATTTTTAAAATTTGTTCTTATTTTGTAGTAAATAATGACTTAGGTGTCGAAAACCAACTTACTATTCTAATGCAAAACTATAAGGTGACTTCGTAAAACTATATATTTAATACAACCTTTGTACATCTTCCATCATTTGTTTCTTACAATCTTTGTCGTTCCCCCATTCTTGTTGTTATTAAAATTACTCTCTGTGTACATTCCTATTCCTTTCAATTCAATCTTTTCAATCTTCTACTACCAGGCATTCAAATTCTAATTGGTGTTATATACAACTTATATCTCTTAACATAGGGAGCACACACCACAAAGTGAGCAAGACATATTAAGCGAAGGCGTCGTATGTACAATAAATACCAATAAAATTTAAGTAATAACACATGTTCACTGGCTTATAAAGCAGATTATTGTTTTAATGGCCTCTGTATTTCATCTCATTAGATAAAGAAATCAATTATTTAAGAACTTTAGGAAAAATTCCAGGATGTTTGACTTATCATCTGCAAGACTTATCAGCTTGATATATGTGAATTTTTGTGCTGATGTTCACACTGAGATACTTCAACCAAATACTTATCGCTTCAAACATCAACTTTACTTGCATGTTCAATAGACATGAATTCATTTGTAAAATAATAAATTTTTGCATAATTTACATTAAAGGCTGTGTTTGTTCGGTTTTTGTTTGGGAACACTGTATTGGAAAATTCTTGACTGAAACTTAAATTATAGGTGAGAACGTAGTAAATTGATATTTCAGAATTGTAATTTGTTCACAAATGTAAATCATGCCTTACAGATTAAGGAAGTGATTTAATTGAAAATACACTACTTAACACATATTACTAATAATATCACGCGATGACAGGTCATTTTCGAAGTTCATTTCAACTATAAAATCAAATGGTGACTATAGAATATTTCCAACTGAATTCACGAATTGGTCTTAGCTATACCATTATTAAAAACATGAAAGCACTGGACAGGCGTTTCATCCTAGTATCAGCCTCCTCAACAGTGGACATCTACAATCCCGCACGTTGGACTCGAACCCACCATGTTCGGTTTCGCGCGCGAACGCCTGACCTCTAGACCACTGAGCAAACATTCAACAGCATTATTGTCTGACTTCAATTGATCACCATACTGATTATCGAATATTTGATAGAACTTTTAAGTCTATCTTTGATTAGACTGTGGATATAGGCACTACAAACCTATTTCGTAATTAGTTTTTGATATTATTTGCATTTATTTTGTTAATTCTCATAATCTATACATTTACCACAAATGATTGTAAAAGTTGTTCAAGTGCATGACCTTGAACTCACACTCTCTTCCGTTTTGAACCGCTCATAGCATGACACACTCTGCTAACCGCTCATAAATACTCTGCTACACACACGTCTCTCGTTCTCAATTGCCTGTGATTATGATAACTGAACTAGAAAAATATACTTACTTACTTACTTACTTACGCCTGTTACTCCCAATGGAGCATAGGCCGCCGACCAGCATTCTCCAACCCACTCTGTCCTGGGCCTCCTTTTCTAGTTCCATCGAATTCTTGTTCATTTTTCTCATATCTATCTCCATTTCCCGGCGTAATGTATTCTTTGGTCTTCCTCTCCTCCTTCGACCTTGAGGATTCCATATGAGGGCTTGTCTTGTGACGAAGTTCGGTGCTTTCCTCAATGTGTGTCCTATCCACTTCCAGCGCTTCTTCCTGATTTCTTCCTCCACTGGGATCTTATTTGTTCTCTCCCACAGTAGGTTGTTGCTTATAGTGTCCGGCCAGCGGATCTGAAGTATTTTGCGTAGACAACTGTTAATAAACACCTGTATCTTTAGGACGATGGATTTCGTAGTTCTCCAGGTTTCCGCGCCATACAGTAGAACTGTCTTGACATTTGTATTGAAAATTCTGACTTTGGTGTTGGTTGCTAATTGTTTTGAGTTCCAGATATTCTTCAGTTGTAGATATGCTGCTCTTGCTTTGCCAATCCGTGCCTTCACATCTGCATCAGATCCACCGTGTTCATCGATGATACTGCCCAAATATGTAAAGGTTTTTACATCTTCCAAAGCTTCTCCGTCAATTGTGATTGGATTGTTGCATGCTGTGTTGTATCGAAGAATCTTGCTTTTCCCTTTGTGTATATTGAGACCTATTGCTGCTGAGGCTGCAGCTACACTGGTTGTCTTCTCCTGCATTTGTTGTTGTGTATGCGATAGAAGAGCCAGATCATCTGCAAAGTCTAGATCATCCAATTGCATCCTAGCTATCCACTGTATCCCGTGCTTCCCTTCAGATGTTGATGTCTTCATGATCCAGTCGATCACCAGGAGAAAGAGAAAGGGTGACAGTAAACAACCTTGCCTGACACCCGTCTTTACTTCGAACGACTTTGTCAACTGTCCTCCATGAACGATTTTGCAGTTTAATCCATCATAGGAATTCTGTATGATATTGACTATCTTCTGAGGCACGCCGTAGTGTCGAAGAAGCTTCCATAGGGTTGTTCTGTCCACGCTATCAAATGCTTTTTCGTAGTCGATGAAGTTGATATAGAGTGATGAATTCCATTCAAGTGATTGTTCCACAATGATCCGTAGAGTTGCGATTTGGTCTGTGCACGATCTATCCTTACGGAATCCTGCCTGTTGGTCTCGAAGTTGGGCGTCTACGGAGTCCTTCATCCTGTTTAATAATACCCTGTTGTAGACTTTTCCTGGTATTGAAAGAAGAGTGATTCCCCTGTAGTTGTCACAGTTGCTGAGATCGCCTTTCTTTGGTATTTTGACTAGAAGTCCTTCTTTCCAGTCTGTTGGTACCTGTTCCTCATCCCAAATCTTTCTGAAGAGAATGTGGAGTATCCTTGCAGTTGCCGCTACGTCTGCTTTCAGTGCCTCTGCTAGAATGCTGTCTAGTCCTGCTGCTTTGCCACTCTTGATTTGTCTGATAGCCATGCTGATCTCTTCAATTGTTGGTGCGCCAACATCAATTGGGAGGTCCGTGAGTGCTGTTTCGATGTTGGGTGGGTTCAGTGGGGCTGGTCGATTCAACAGTGCTTTGAAGTGTTCTACCCATCTGTTTCGTTGTTCTTCAATGTTGGTGATTATCTTGCCTTCCTTGCTTTTCACTGGTCGTTCTGGTTTACGGTGATTTCCAGAGAGTTTCTTTGTTGTGTCAATCAGTTGTCTTATGTTTCCTTCTCTGGCAGCATTTTCCGCCGTCATTGCTAAATCTTGCACATATTTACGTTTGTCAGTTCTGATGCTCCTTTTCACTTGCTTGTTTACTTCTGTGTATTCAGCCTGTGCCTTGACTTTTTCTGCTCTTGTTCGACTGGTATTGATTGCTGCTTTCTTGTTCCTCCTTTCTTGAATCTTATCCAGTGTATCGACCGTCATCCAATCCTTGTGATGGTGCTTCTTTTGGCCCAGAACCTCATGGTATGTTGAAGTGATTGCCTCTTTTATCTCTTTCCAGTTGCTCTCCATATTAGTTCCTTTTCCATTGAGTAGATCATGAAAGGCTTGGAACTTATTGCTGAGGGTTATCTTGAATTTATTGAGTTTGTCAGTATCCCGAAGAAGAGCCTTATTAAACTTTTGGGATATTGTCCTCCCCGTTGTCCAGTGCCTCTTGAGTTTCAATTTCATCTTGGCGACCAGCAAGTGATGATCTGATGCTATATCAGCTCCTCTCTTTGTTCTCACGTCCTCCATCGTCCTCCTGAACTTTTTGTTGATGCAGATATGGTCGATTTGGTTCTGTGTGCTGTGATCCGGTGAAGTCCATGTGGTTTTGTGTATGCGTTTATGTGGGAATATAGTCCCGCCTATGACCAGTTTATTGAAGGCACATAGATTTGCAAATCTCTCACCATTTTCGTTCCTTTCTCCCAGTCCGTGTCGTCCCATGATCTCTTCATATCCGGTGTTGTCAGTTCCAACCTTGGCATTTAGGTCTCCCATTAGAATAGTCAGGTCTTTTGTTGGGCACTTCTCGACGATTGACTGCAGCCTATCGTAGAATTGATCTTTAGCGTCTTCGTTGTATTCGTTGGTAGGCGCATAGCATTGGATGACGTTCATTGTAATCCCCGTTTTCTTGGTTTTGAAGGAGGCTTTGATGATCCTTGGTCCATGAGATTCCCATCCTATAAGTGCATTTTGTGCTTGTTTGGACAGCATCAATGCAACTCCTTGTGTATGTGGAGCATTTTCTTGTTCATGTCTGGAGTATAACAGCAGCTCCCCTGAAGCTAGTCGTTGTTGTCCAACTTGCGTCCAATGTGTTTCACTGATCCCAAGCACCTCTAAATTGTATCTCCTCATTTTAGCAGCAATTTGGAAAACTCTCCCAGTCTCCCACATTGTGAGAGCATTCCATGTACCTAAATAAATGGTTGCTCTGGTTGTCAGAAGGGGCATCGGCCTCGTGACTTCCGAAGAAACTCGGCTTTCATCGTGAGGCGTCATAATTATCGAAGCTAGTATTTTAGATACTATATTAGTCAAACTAATCCCTCTGTGGTTGTCACAGGATGATTTTGACCCTTTCTTAAATATTGGGTCGATAAGTGATTGTGACCAGTTAGATGGAATAACGTCTAACTCCCAGATTTTAGCTAAAATATTAGTCAACCTAGTCGCTAAAACTAGACCACCATCCTTAAAGACCTCTGGGGCCAATCCATCTGGACCAGCTGCCCTTCCTCGTTTCAGATTAGCTATAGCCTTTTGAACTTCAGCTAGAGTTGGGGGACCTACTTCAATGTTCCATTCACACTGTCTGGGAATAGAGGGTAGTTGTAGAGTAGCTGAAGGCCAGCTAAACTGCTCCTTAAAGTGTTCCGCCCATCGTTCTAAGCGTCTGGACTGAGAGCAGATGAGAGTGTCGTCTTTTTCCGAAATGGTCTGACCTACACTTGATTTATTAATTCCAGTTTCTTTTATTAGTCTGTAGAGTTGTCTTGTGTTCCCTATAGCCGCCGCCTTTTCCATCTCTTTTGCTTTCGTTGCCCACCACTGCTCACGATCATTCCTTAGACTTTTGCTTAATCTAGATTTGATTTCTTTACGCTCTTCATCGTATTCAAAACCTGATGGGATGAGTTTGCGAGAATCTATCAGTGCAATAGACCTTGACGAAATCCATTGGTTTTTTGTAACCATTTGGCTTAAATCACTGGTAGATGTCACTGCTGTTTCCACAGCTGATTGTATATCTTTCCAAGCAACATCTGGGTCAGCCTCGTTTTCAGAACTACCTAAGTGTGACCTCAGTTGTTCCTGGAACCTACTTTTGGCTTTCTCATTACTCAATTCGGTTATAATGAGTCTTTTTTGTGTGGCTCTTTTGCGTCCAGTGAGGCGCAAGCAGATGCGTGCTCGTACTAGGGCATGATCAGAGTCCAAGCAGGTACTCCAGAATGAGCGACAATCTTCTATTGACCCTCTCCAACGATGACTGATGGCAATATGGTCTATTTGAGTCCATCGTTGGTTTGGTGCAGGGGGTCGCCATGTTAGACGATGTCTCTCCTTATGCTTAAAATTTGTGTTTGCTAGAAATAAACGATTGTCTGAGCACAGTTGCAGCAGACGATCACCATTATCTGTTCTCTGTGCCGGAATACTAAAATACCCACCTAAATGTCTTTCTGTTTCGTTTAAGCTACCTACCTGGGCATTAAAGTCACCTACTACGAGTACTATGTCTGAACGTTTAGCTTTCTGAAGAAGTTCAGACAGCTTTCTGTAAAATTCATCTTTCACTTCATCAGAACTGCAGTCAGTGGGAGCGTAGGCAGAAACGACGAAAAGGCAACGACGTGTGTCCCTATCCTTCCGAGTTCTTACGGAGCCGTTTAGCCGAACAGCGCATAGACGACTGTTAACGGGGATCCACTCTAATAGCGCTTGTTCCGCCCTCATGCTAAGTGCTATGCCTACACCTGCCAGTCCACGAGAACTAGCCATCGGGTCGCCAGATACACGGAGGGTGTATATCGTCGGCACTCCGTTTTGCCGAGGTGAGGTCAAGTGAATGACCACACTAGGATCCTGTGTGCGTGTTTCGGAGACACAGCATACATCAATGGTACGAGATTCTAAGGTTTTGGCCAAGGAAGCCTGCTGACCGATTTGGCATAGTGTGCGTACGTTGAAGGCTCCAATGTATAGTTTGGAGCGAGGTTTCAGTAGACCTGGGACAGTGTTTTGAGCACTAGAATCGTTGGCTGTGGTGACACTTGAGGAGGAAGCTAAAAGAGGAAGTTTAGTGTATAAAGTCGATGTAGGCGGAATAATAGGAATCGACGAGGGAGGTTGATTATGAATACAGTGGTCTTGAGTGCTGTTAGAGGTATGAGGGCGGTTATCACTTCCCGGTCGCCCACACCGTGGGAGGGTTCTGCTGGAGGTACCTGAAAAGGAAATTGGATTAGAGGTGATCATAATGACCTGAGAGCGTGACCGCAGTGCCCAAGGGACAGCTGCTTGAGGTCGGTCACACACGACCTTTTTATGAGTGATTTTTGTGTTAGCTCCGTACTTGTTGAGTCCTTATCGCCGGAGACGGATATCCGTGGGATAAGGCGAGGTGTGAATTTTTAGGGTCGACCTTTTCTAACCCCTCCCCTCCTTTTGAGAAGGCAGCATCGCTGTCACGCTGGTTGTCTGAAGGAAACACCTTACTGCTGTCACACCTCTGTACAGTCAGCAGTACGACTTCGCCTTCAGACCTTGGTTTTGTTGCTTTTAGTCTTACCGCTCTTCAACCGACCTGTCTGGCATGGTAGGACCTTGAGGAACGGTTGTTCCAGCCAGTATAGCTCAGTTGCTTCATCACGATAGGCAAGCCCGACCACCACGTCAAGGTAGCAACAACGGTCAGGTCTGAGCTATATCACTGCAATTACAACAACCTTATTGGAATTATTAATTACCTATAATTGTGGATTATGGAATCAAAGGCAGCTTGAACACACCAAAGCCCGCTGATTTAAGTAACACCCCATAACTTTTCGCTGTTTATAAATTATAAACAATATATTATAACATTAACTTTAGGACATAATAACTTTATTGCCGTTTTTGAGTTAATATAATTTTTGGTCAACCACAATTATCTGGTGAGCCCGACGTGATAAGAGTGTGTGAGTTCAAGGTCATGCACTTAAACAACTTTTACAATCATTTGTGGTAAATGTACAGACTACAAGAATTAACAAAATAAATGCAAACAATATCAAAAACTAATTACGAAATAGGTTTGTAGTGCCTATATCCACAACGTAATCAAAGTACGATAAAAACTTACTTAATCTCGAAAAGAATTATATACAACTAAGTAATGCTTATTTTCAGGGAGTTTTCATAATTTGCACTTAAATCTGGATTATTCAATTTCTGAATCAAAGTCCTATTTACCTCATAACTTATAAATTATATCAACTTACGGTGTAATGAGTTGATTAGTTTGTATGATCAATTTTTAATGTCTATCAGTTATGAATAATTTATTAACACAAGTTATAGGTTAAAATGTTTTTACGGTGTACAGTACTTAACTTCAAAACACTTTTTTGTACTGTTTTATAATGATGAACGGTTTATTTACAACATTAAATCGATAGCTTAGGTTGAGAGCTTCCAAATATTCCATAATAACTAAAGTTCATCTTCATACAAAATTATTTCCACTTAACTGTTATGTACAAAAATTAAATAATATAATAAATAATAATTTGCAAAGAATAAAATAAGCATGATTTCGTTGAAAAGATTTTAATGACTGTATACGGAATCTTTATTAATTAAGAAGGATGAAGGAGAATCGTATTTACTTTGTCAATGATCAAAAATCTATCCAGTATGTCGAAATAGCACATTATATACAACAAATCAGATTTTTTTTTCAGGTAGGATACACCAGAAAATGAATTCAGTTGGAGTGAAACTGACACAATGATTGATGTTGAAATTGTACTACATAAGATAATAAGTCAGTTGTTCTGACCTTCATACTTTCGAAGCAATACCCGAGGGTCATACATACGATCTTCAGTAGGGTACGCGCATACAGTTGCAGATGTTTACATAATTCATCAGTTCTTACTGGATTTCAATAGTATTTCAAATAATTACTTACAAATTTCCACAAACTCTACCTCAAATAAATCAAACATTTACTAGTATGGCTATTTAAAACTCAGAAGTTTATAAATGGTGCATTTCACTTGATTCTTGAGTGTTCTTGATATGATGAATAGAAGTCAAAATTCAATTGATTTACTTATTATCAGTTTAGTTCAACATGACTTCCGTTTTGATTCAATGTGGTGATTATTCAGTGTAGTGTTCGGTTTTGTTTTCTCGTATGATATTTTATTCTTTATAACATACGACATTCTTGTATTCAATTGACATGACCTATGCTCAGCGTGACATGTAGCATGTGATTTGTTGTAACTCAAAATATGTGATTTCATCCTAATTGTTAATCAAAGTGTGTGTACAATCAATAAATAAATGAGTGTATTTTCGACTAGGGTCGTCATGGTGGTCGTGTTTTGGGGTTAATAAATCTTCACTTATACCAATCTTTGAGTTCTTATTTTCGCGTCGTGGGAATTGCGGAGGTCCCTCGTTCTGAGTATAAGTGATAAGCGTTTACGACATAACAATCAGCAACGACCAGATATAACAAGTAGCATTCAACTGACAAGTTATAACAGTTCTAAGTATGAAAGCTTCTGGAAACAGATGAATGTTGTTTCAAATAAAATAGGTACACATAACATAATAAATGACGTAAGAAATATTGAAGACCTTTTTCTAGACAAATAAATTAATGAAAGCTAACATCTTGGTTTGTGTATGAAAGTATTAAATTTTTCATCAGACTGAATAACATAGTTTTTCCCATATATTTAAAACACATAAAAAAAACGTCATGACTAATAATAATCATTGTAATGAATTGGTTAAAACATACTTTAACTAATGCTTCTGCTAAAAAACTGAATTGATTAACATAAGCAGGAAGTGTAAGTGGACCGTAAATAGTAGATGCACCTTCATATCGTTGAAGCTGTAAATAAAAAGCAAAAAAATACAAAATCAAATTGATTAGATAAATTATTCATAGTTATCATTTTAATGTTAGTAGTGATCTTTGTTTAACTTTGAATTTTATGCTAGTTCGAAATTTTCATGAAAATATATTTGTAATCTTAAACAAACTGTTGCCGCTTCTGGTTTGATTCAATCACATATCAAAGTCAGTAAAGTTTCTTTATTTAATTATTCGTTTAAACTAGCTAGCAGTTTAATCGATAGTTTAATAAACAACAAGCGTCAAGACAAAATAATGGTAACTACTACTAATGGCTGATCCATTCAAATGATGTTGACAATTTTAGCAACCAAAAGGATACATTGTTAAAACAAAGAACAATTTGCTATAACCTTATGCTATTATATTATCTTATTCATAAGTTAAGGTGAATAAAGCAACAGCTCTTAGCTCATTTTCTTTACGAAGCTTTAGGACAGATAAGACTAAAGATAATTATTTTTCAAACGTTTGTATTTTCCTGTTGTTAATCTGAAGGATTACATGTAACTATTCTCTGCAGGAATGTATAAATCCTGAGGAGATAATCAAGATATGTTAGTTTTTTCACTAGTTTTAGCTAAAAATTGGATTGTTTTAAAAGTAATACTCAAAACTCAGCTTTCAACTTATTGGTGAATTGTCTGTCAGAAGTTAATATTCACACTGAGAAACAAACCCAGTACATGTCACTGATCAACTACTTTCTTTAACACTGATAAAAAAAATATAAATTATCACAAATAAAGTTTACACCTGTTTCACTAACTGATGACTGTCAGACTCTGTAACTCGATGTATAACACACTGGAATTTGATAAGGAAGAAACTGGTTATGAATCCCAGTATAAAGATCAACACTGATAAGCAGGAATAGCAGGTTGACGAACCTCAAGTGTGACTTAATCCACGTCCTACCATACACTGCTAGGTGGTATTCAAGTTTAACAATTATGTTCAAAAAAGAACTAAATTTTCAGTATTGCTTAATATAAGAGAAATTCTCTAACATTATTGATTCTCCCTTAGTCTCTCTCACAATTATCACATGGACATTTTTTTTAAAATAAAGAAATATTTTGTCAAAAAGTTTGAAGTACACAGAATTTAATTAACAAAATTAAATTAAATTTTCTCAGTATTAACAAATGAATAATGAGCATCACTTTTGTTTAAATTATACATAATATTCTTAAAAGAGTTTATTGATGATTTTAAGCTTCGATAAAGGTTACATTGAACGTTAAACTTGAATATTTATTATAAATTCATATTTCTTTAAATTAGTTAGACAAATATGTAATTACAAAGTAGAAAACAAATGAATAATTTTATTTTTCAATTGTTGAGATCATGAGTCAGTTGAAGCTAGACCACTATGAAAAACTTGGAAGCACTAAACGGCCATTTCATATTATTTTGGAACTCCTCAGTAATATGCATCCACTGGCTTTAAAAGGTATTTCCTGGAGTTCTAAGTAAGGAGTGATCAGTGGAGTTCAACCAGGTCTGTTGTGAGATAATAACTCATGGAAGAAAATGGTGGATGTGTCGCTCAAATTCGTGGATTGGTTGAAGTTAGACATTACCACAATCGGATGCCGGCCAGCTCAGTGGTCTAGTGGTTAAGCGCTCACGCGCGAGACCAGTAGGTCCCGGGTTAGAATCTCGCGAGTTGAGTTCGTGGATGTGAATTGCTGGGTAGTCCCACGATAGGACGAAACGGCCATCCAGTGCTTCCAGGTTTTCCATGGTGGTCTAGCTCATGATCTCAACTGTTAAAATTACTATAACATCCACGAAAACCCTTCTGATATCAATTTTCTTTTTGTCAATCTGTCAGTTTATCTTAAAATGGTTTTTATTTTCATTTAAAATTTGTTTATCTATACATTTTATCTCTGTGCTAATGTGATGTGGCAACTCGAACTGATGTACGTACGTACGAAGTTCCACGTTGTTACTGACTGACTGACATTTTATCTTATTTTGAAGAATCCTATATTGTTATAATAAGTAATATAGTTTAATATTTTGTTAATTAATTTATACATGAGTACGTATACAAGTGTAGAAAAGTAAATTGAAATAATAATTTTATGATTATTTATGAAATTGACACCGTTTTGACGAAACAGCCGTCTAGTGCTTTCACGTCTTTACTAGTGATCTAGCTTACATAGAATCATGAATTCAACTAATAAAATTACTACAACTTTCACAATCCCCCATTCTAATAATTTTAAAAATATAGTGACAATTTATTGTTTAATATAATCTTTCAAAACAATCTTGGATCAAAAGAACTTATATAAAAATAAGAAGACATAGAATATTGAACAATGGATTCATGGCAAATTAGTGAATTATTATTACTTGATATTCTTCAGGAGTTGCGATATAACTTGAGTAAACATTTGACAAACCAGAAAGAATTACTTCATATTGTGTAGTTGAACTTGGATCATTCTGTTTAGAAGCATTACTAGCAGCCTAAATGAAAATCCAGTCAGAAAAAAAACAAAGGAGCGATTTAAAGTTACAAGTATAATATCTATATAAATCTGAAAGTTCAAAAAACGGGGAGCATATTGTTAATACGATAAGCCTTGATTAAGTTTTCTATCAACAAAATAAGGAATGAGTTAGACATTTATTTAATAACACATAACAGTCAATTATAAACAACTTAAAGCCTAACATAAACATGTATTACCTCGTGGTAATTTATCACTATATGATGTAATTCTCAACATCTACATTATAATAACGAGTGTTACAATTTATAATGCATGATAATGCAACGAAGACATTGAAAAGAAATCCATAAACATCATTTAAAATATGCAGTATTATTTACAGCAACATATATACAGCAGAACAATGTGATAATTCCTGATGATGCTACAAATATATCTGTCATTTCTACTACAATAATCTCATCATACAAATCAGGTCTGAATGGAAAATATTTCGTAAATAACAGTAGAAAATTAATATTCAGAAAACTTGTACAAATCGACTATAAGTGAATAAATAGTAATTTTAAATTTCAGTCAATAGTTTTAGTGTACGTAGTATGTGGCTAGAAGAACCAAGAACACGAATTTCTTATTTGAGACTAGTTAGTTAATAGCTAAATGAGTGATTGTCACTAACACTGTATCCACTTGATACTTATTCATACAAAGGAGAGTTTACATTTAGAATAACCAAATTTCATACCATTAATCTCTAAAACTTAGGTAATCCTAAGTTGACCTATTACATCTGTATTAAACTATTTAGAATGTTTCTCGAGAGTTATTGACAGTAACTTATAGTTATTGTGTCAGATTATTTCAAAATACAACGTTTGTTAATGTAGTATATTAGGTGTTAAATGTATTAAGTCATACACATTTGAGCTAGATATTACCAATAAGAAGAAAAGCAAACAAATACACCAATAAAAATCTGAACTTCTCAATCTGTGCGAAAACAGTTGAGTGAAAATATTGCGAGAAACTTCATAGCATTTAAATTATGTTATTGTGTTTATGAAATAGGCAGAACTTTGTCATATAGAGATGACGGTCCTATTACATAAAAATATTAATGTATCGTTTTACATATGGTAACAATCAGACCTAATGTTTTAGAAACAATTTTATCGTTGATCAACTGTTTTATTCATAAAGAATTTATAAGACGAACATGTGAAAAGTATACCGATTTGTATATATTTAGTTTTTTGTACATCCTATCCTAATTACTCAATGTTGTAAAATATAACAGGTATTAAGAAGGAGTACAAATGTAACTCAAAATTTGTTTGTATTATTAGTTAACTCAATTAAAATTATAAGAAATTGTAAACTGTTTACAAAGATTAAGTAAGTGATTATTTATGTCAACTACTACTGTGTAGTTCATTAATTTCAAATGTAACTACTGATCAATAATTCAGGTATATAGATCTAGTTGTCCATCACTGGTCGGATCAGTTATAGATTTATTAAGAATCCATACTAAAATACTTATCAATAGTCTTATCCTTTTTCCTTACGTCAAATAGTTGCTGTCTTTTATTACATATATAACAATAAATAGACTGTTTTTCAGCAGTTAAAACAAATAGGCATAGCAGTGTTTTGATAAGTTAAATTGATAACAAACAATGTTCCAAGGTACATCCACTACTTAGAAGTCAGCAATCATAAGATTCGTATTTTAAACTACATATACGTTATCTAGAAATATAACTTCAATGTAACTTATGAACAAACCAGTCAGATTTACGATAACAGGTCTTAAATTTTGGGGCGAAATTTACTCATCTATTTGGTTAAATAAAGTTGTGGCATTATAGCTAATGTCAGTTCACGATGAAAACCCTATATCTGATTCCTAACCCTAACTATCAACTGCCAATTCTAATTCTCACACTGCTTTATAAACCTCATTTAGCCGTATTATGTAGGTGGACAGTCTCAAAGTTTCTTTAGTATCGCTCAAACGTCATTCATAAATTATAGTCTCACCGGTTATTCTACTGCATTATCTGATCATGGCTTTAGTCTTGTGAAAAACGTGTTCTACGATAATGACATAACATTAGCCGTAAAGTATTTGGACTGCTTCAAAATATTTATTCATTTATTTCCTTACAAAATATAGGTGAGGTAAATACTACTAGCTAAACGAATAAGCATAATTTTCATCGTCCAGTTACAAACGTTAGTCAGTAGATCCATAACCTAAATTTATTTGATAAATTTCAAGCCTACACACTCTGCCATATAGATAAGATTTTTTAAAAACCACTTCATTAAATTGAAAAAAATTTCTCTAGTTTATTGAAATTAGTCACATTTTAAAGATTATAGAAACAATTTCAATATAATTAATTTTAAACCTGAAAAACCAAATTAATAAGAGCTCTTTACTATTGAACATTCACCAAATTATCTTAATCATGATTTCATTAAGTTATCATTAATTATTGAAAGTTCTATAGGACTGCATCTCCTAATGTGGTTTCACTGTCTTGTGGATTGGATCTTTAGGCCAATGGCTTGGGTTATGGCTCCCTAATAAAACTATCTGCTTCGGTTCGGGCGCCTGGGCAATATCCCATACATATCATTTGATTTATGTGGGACATATATATTTGGTGTCTCCTGGTACCAACGTTAATGTTTTTAAATAAATAAATAAATAATAAACTGTATTAATTAGTTCCTTTTCATTGTACGACGGCAAGTTATATGGCGATTGATCGATTTGTAAAATTTTCGTTACAAAACATCATGTGAAGAACCAACAAAAATGAAGGATCACTTCACTACTATTTCATCTTAGTAGGATACCTTATAATAGAATGCACTAATGATCACATCAGGAATAAAACTCAGCATAACGGCTGAGTTACATTCGAAACATGTAGTTAGCATTGAGTGGTTCATATTATTAATCTCAGTCAACTCTTCCTGATGAGCTATTATCGTTCATTGACACTTTTAGTAACTGTTTTTATATTCCTATCATGAATGAACTCCAATGATCACGAGATTTCACTGGGAATATAATAATTATTAGATTTAGTATTAAACAATCCTCAAGTTAATCATTGGTAAACTTTTATGTAGCGCATTTATCATTCTCTCAAACAAGTACTCCCCTTTGAAATATCTGCTTACAATGACCACTAACAACTATTAATGTAAACTTAAATGACAGAAATATTTCCGTTATGCAAACATAATATTTATTTTGTAGTATTCATTCATATTAAATTACTTGTTTGTATTTGTTTTCGTAAAGTTATTTTTTATGATACCATATTGACTATTATTTTGCTGTTTTTAGTATTATTTACTTACTAGTTGTTAATTGATTCAATAAAAATTAATTAAATACATTTATTGACATAGATTCACATAAGTAAATAATGTAAATATATCACTAAATGAGTACTTGTTTTATAAGTCTATAAAAAGTAAGTGAATATAATTTGCACTTATTAAGATGATTAAAGTCTATTCATTATTCATTCTTAAATATTGCTGATACTCGAAAATGTACGCGTACAAGTATACATGCAACTAGAATGATGCAATCAAAAGGCAATGTCAATCTAGGGATTGATAAATATTATGACTCCGTTATTACAGATTATTATAAATTTATTTTTTCAACTGAATCAACCAAAACAATTAGAACGTTATGATAACAAAAACACATATCCACTGTAGTTTAACTTAAGGTAACGGCATTTTTACAACCACTGAAGACAGTGAGAAATGGTTATGTAATACCGAGGGTTGATCGAAGTATGACTTGAACACCAGTGAGGGCAAATTATATGGTTTAGAGATTATGTATCTGCACTCAAGATCGAACGCCATGGGTTTACCACGTGGACACAGGGTTATCAATGCGCACTGCTGAGGAATCCGATACAAGGACGAAACGCTTATCTGGTACTTCCAGATTTTAAACGATTGCCTAACTTAGGTTAGTTCGTATTTCCTAAATATATATATATATGGAATCAGTTGTACACATAGTGATAGATTCAAAACAAATAAAACGAATAACAAAATCAATAAATATTAATTGAATAGTGTGAATAATATAAAAATCTATTCGAAATTAGGAACATTTGTTTTGGAGTTGAACTCTAACCAGTGGATTGTGAACATTCTCAAAAAATTCGGTATAGCCTTTTTCATAGTATTGCAGTTATCAACAAAATCGTGGATTGAATATCAACAATAGGAAAATACAAACATTTGCAAATCATAAGTATTATCTCAGTTGAACATAATATTGATTATCAGAAATCAACAGCCTAAAAAATAAGGTGTTTCTATTTGAAGCAGTAAGTGATGAATTCAAAGGCAATTATGAATATTAACACTGGAATCTAAGGTTGTTGTCATTAGTGGTCTTTAATAGTTCCACTTTCCAATGTCTTCATAGAAACACCAATAAATAAATTAAGAAACAAGGTAGTAACTTTGTAATTTCTAAATACCATAACTAAGTAACGTTTTATCTCTTTTACTTAGAAAATTTTAAGTAGAAGATTTTGATCAACTCAAGCTATAGTCTAATAGTAAGGTTACTTTTAATATACAAAATAAAGAGTAAGAAAAAAGATGTTGGTACCAGAGAATATACGAGAGGATACGAAACTCGAAAGCGATGAATTAGTAATAAAAGCACTTGATTTTTTAACAGTTTGTTACAACTTCGAGCACATTACCGTCTATTTTAGCTTAAATAACCCAGTAACATCAATACCTTAAAAGCATAGATCAAAATAACGCATACTGGGTTTACTTGATGTAAAAGTTATATAAATTATTATTTAATTAGCTTCAAGCAACACAAATTGTTTACGAATATTTAAGAATAAATTAATAAGAAAATGAAATTTTTAAGGAAAGATCATTTTTAATTGAAATTGAATGCACCTGATACCAATGTACTCCATATATATAATA